GCAAGGCTAAACTTTGTTGGCTTTCTAGCTGTTTCGGGGCTGCTCTGTTTAGGGGTAGCAACTGTAGCTGTGATGTTTGTTTCTCGTGGTATGATTGGCAGCAGGGGAGAAAGATTAGGCCTGTATGTGTCAGCTTCCCTGCATTGTTTCTTAATGTACCTGCAGTAGTTGTGAGCTGCCTGTGCAGAAGGGACCAGATCAAATTGGCAAATGGCTCCTTCAAAGTGTGCTGAGGATTGTTGTTGGCTTGTTCGTCCAAGGAGGAAAGAGCCCTGGAGCTCGGAAGCCAGTCCCTCATCACTGCCCCACCCAAAGTTTGCATGAACACTCTGCTCTCCGCAGGAGGCATATAGAGTCACTCTCTTTCCATTAATTCCAACTGCAAGCTGATGCCACTTGCCATCATGTGGCTCATAAGGCAGTACCACTGAGGTGTTTGGTCCCGTGTGAAGGACCAGTTTTCCAGGAACAAGCTGCAGACCAAGAAGGAGCTTCTTGTGGTCTGACTGCAAGGTGAAGAGGAAAGCACTGTTGACTCGGTGTGAGCGAACACTCAGGACCAGTGCCAGGTTGGGCCATGTCGTTGCTGGGAAGAGTGAGCGCAGTGGAGCCTCAATGTGCGCCTGCTGGTTGATAATGATCCCTGATCTGAATGGTATGATCCCTGCTGGCACAGAGCGAGACGGCTTCTCTCCCTTGAGCCCCAACTTTTGAAGGATATCAACATCTACAAAAGAAAAGAAAGCAGCGTTAGAAAGTCACAGAGTTTTTAATGGATTTAGTTTACATTTAAAACATCTTTTAGACTTTATCGCAGTCTGAATGACCTGTTGTTTTGAAACTTTGATTATCTTTTCATGGAAAAAGTAAAGATGAAGTAAATTAGTAAAACTCAAGTACACTTTTTTACTGTGTCCCACTGTGAATATTTGAATGAAGTAAATTAGTAAAACTGAAGTACACTTTTTTACTCTGTCCCACTGTGGCCCAGGACCAAATGACTTACAGAACGGCACCGGTCCCTGCACCAGGGGTTGTGAACCTCTGCATTAGAATACATGACGAACAATGTACTTGTAAAGCTCTGCTCCCTTTTGGTTGCGTTCAATCATTAGTGACGAAAATCTATCTTTGTGTCCTGGTCCAAAAATACACATTGTCATAAATATGTATTGGAGCATTTTTGAATGAGATCAGAAGAAACATGCAGAGCTCACAATAATACTCAATTTGCCCTTTTCACTGGTAGTCAGAACCAGAACCACAAAACATGGATGGTGGAACCATAATCATGAATGTGTTTGACTCATATTTCAACCATCATCGAGAGCAGCACTTTGGCTTGGGAATGGGAATGAAGCTTGACTGCTGCAGGGTAAAGACACTGGAGGTGGGAGGAGGGGAGGAAGGGAAGAGGGGGGAGACCATTTAAACCCAACCTGAAACAAAACTAGACTTTGAGGACACTAAATGTTTCCTGTAAATTGTTTAGTGTTGCCTTGGGCAGTAGCATAATTACTATGTATAGGTCAAGACAGACAAAAAAAACAAACAATAAAAAACAAAAACAGGCTGACAGCCAGAGATTGTAGCGCGATCTTGGTCGACGGTTGAAACTCTTGTGTGAATAGATGCTACAGAGCTAACGGTGGTTTTTCCTTTAACTGTCAGTGGCTTTCCAACTGGAGCCCTTCTTCACCGAATTGTGACATAATGAGGCTGTAAGATTCAAGTTCAAAATATATGTACACTGCTTTGCCTGAAATTCCTATGGGACCAAATTTAAAACCTATTCTGGCAACACTTTGGTCTGATGCCAGTTGAACCTACAGATGCTCTTTGTTAGCTTAATTGTTCAGCTCCCACGTCTTGTTAAGTGTAATCCCTTGGTGCCACGTTACACTTTCTTGCAGTTATTAACACAGCTATAAAACACACTTCAGAGAGAAACTAAAGCGGGTGATTCAAAGAGACCTACAGCAACAAGGTAGGTGTTGTTTCACACCGAGATGTCAGAAACATGATGGCATAGAGAAGCCATTTTGAAAGGGCTCAGTCAAGGCCACTGCAGTCAGGACCAGGAGCACACAATCAGAATACAGACATAATCCTCCTGTAGCGATCATCTGGCCAACACGCACTCCAGTGACGTCAACAGTGATTGTATTCACAAAATTTAAAGCCACAAGGGGCAACTCTGAGTTCTTGGCAAAACACTGCCTCATTGATATCAAGGCATAGCTTCTCTGTTTTATGGCTAGAGGGGATTAAAGAAGTGAAACGATGGTCGAAATCCTTAAAGTCGTCTCAAACAGTCCCCTCTTTTGCCGTCTGTCCTCTGTCCTTCAGATCATTGAAGTCACATTGGACAATCAAAGCAAGTCACTACAGCATCTTCCTGTCCGGAGGCTGAATTCCATCTTTTCTGCCAATCTTGTCTCAGCGTTTTCTTCTCTCTCTCTATGTGAACTGTCATCATTTCATCATCAACTTCACTATTTCTGGGTTTCCTATGACCTGTGGTTACTGGGTCTTGGTTTATAGGAGACAATATAAAGGAATGTGAAAATAAAGTTTGCAATTAAACATTGATTACAAGACAAAAGCGGGAAATGTATGGGGAGGACGGACAAATGGAAAGTAAAGAGGTTCAGTCATGAGCTCATGGACGAGAGCGTGGACGGCAGCAATGGCGTCAATGAGAAGCTTGTCTTGTGAAAAATGCCTGATTTTTCCCACCGTCAGAGCGTTCAGACCTCTAAAAAAGAATTGTATGCAGCATATTTTCTGGACTATAAGTCGGACTTTTTTTCATCCTTTGGCTGGGTTTGCGACTTATACTCGGGTGCGACTTTTATTTTATTAAAGTATATAATTTCACAAGTTAGTTATTTTCGCACTGACAGCCACTAGAAGGCACTCAAGGCTTGTGTACCAGTATCTGCTACTCCTGTAGCAATGAAAGTTTACATATTCGTTATTTTCACACTGACAGCCGCTAGAGGGCACTAGCGCGACTTTTACGCTGAGAATATTATTGACTCTAAAGGGGGGAATATCTTAGACCTAAAACACATTTAGGTAAAAATTTTAATTAAACTAAACAGAATTGTTGTTGTGGCGCTTTGGCCCAGAACTCCTGTAGCAATGAAAGTTTACATATTCGTTATTTTCACACTGAGGGCAAGTTTGAATCCCGGTTAGGGCGGTTGGTACCTTCCAGTGGACTCACCACCCGCAGGAAGGTTTAGGGCGGTTGGTATGGTGCAGTGTGATCTGGGTGGCGACTGCTGCCCCTGCAACCCGGTAACGGATAAGCCGATGAAAATGGATGGATGGATGGATGGAGAATTCTTGTTACTATCTTGTACAGTAACCTAAATGAACTAGATATTGAAATGATATAGGCATATTTATAGCATTAACAATGTAACCATTCTTTGTGGACTGTGACACTTTCCTTGCCGTAAAACATTGGGGTTTTATAAAATATACTGATGAAACAAGACCTCCATGAGGTTTGATGCCACGCCATACCCTTTAACACTGCTCTCTGTGTGGTCCCGTCTGTAGTGAAGGGCAACAGGATTTGGCAGGGCAGCGGGGCATGCATTACACGTGCCCTGTTCTGTACATGAGCCACCGTGCCACCCTTCTTTATTAAAATACATTTTCACCTCCTTCAGAGCTTATACAAACCAAACACTGTTTAGATCTACAGCATACCGTGTGGTGGTGAACTCTGACTCAGACTGGTGTTTAACACATGGCTCCAGTTCCCAGGCTCAAACTGTGCCAAATTACTAAAGCAGGACAAAGTGAGAATCCAGGAGTCCTTACACTGAAATGTTATCACTAACAGAGAATGAAGTCACTGATACATTTGAACACAGTTGAATACACTCCATTCTTTCCAAGACTCCTCTAATCTGCACTCTGTCAAATATGATGTTGCTCGACTGAGAGTCACCCTCTCAGCAACACTTCTGAAAAGGCATTCTTGGCTTTCTCGTATGATTTAGATCAGGCTCTACTCTATTTTGTTTCATTTGGAAAAGAGATAAACACAAAACTGAACTAAATATGATTAAAACATGGAAATACGTTATTATTTATTTTCCTCTAAACAGGATTTTTTTCTGACGGAAAATGACGATCTAAAGTGTCTACGACAATAAAAGCCTGTAGAGAAGAGAAGTCTCATATTTCTGTAGACTTAAGTTCTTCATTTGGTTTCACTATCTGTGCAGCAGTTCTCATCTAGGTGGGTGTATCCATTTCCTATAAAGGGTCTATGGCAATACACTCAGATTCCCAGAGATCCAAGTATGTATTCTTTGGAGTTCCACAGTATTAGCACTCCCTAAGCTGTTTCATCTTCAACTGTTGAGCTGCTAAATGTTCCACTGACTTGGTTCTAAACAGGAAGTACACAGCAGCTTACTCAAAACAGCTGCCTGCTGCAGTCTGTTGCAGCTGAAACCATACGACAAAAAGGGCAAAGGAATGCAATGATAAAAAAAAAAAAAAACACTGATTGAATTTTTTTTTTTTCAGTAAGGACTCTCTTGCTGATTCAACTTAGCTTACTCAACACATTGTCATGACAACGGAGGGCCCGTTTCTCAGTCCAATGTGTTTACATGCTTGGGCAACGACCAAACAGACAAAAAATAACTCAGAAATCCCCTCAACACTCCAGGAAATTTCGGACTTCTTTCCCCCTGTCACTGGTGATATTTTCAGGACAAACATATGGACGGAGCACATGAAGAGGCTGCATAGAGAATTAATAGAAACGCTGTCTTACCTTCAGGGTGTACTTGTGTAAGTCCCAGGTAACAAGTACAGTATAAAATGGTGCAGAGCAATAGGGCTCTCCTGGAAAACAGAGGACAGCACATTAGAAAGACCATAAACATCAATAACTACAAATCTACATTGTTTTGGTCATGGGAATGGGACCCTCAACCTTAAATGAATGGTGTCCAGTCATTACACAGACACTCTCTCTAATCAACCTTGTTATTTTTTGACTTTGAGACACTGTCTCACATCTAGAAACAATATGTAATGTATATAATGAGCATAAAAATAGGTGAAATATTTAAGTTACAAAGTGAATTATTGGATCTATTGCAAAGTCAAATTTGCTTTGGCATATCAGAAGTGTGTCTTTAAAATAGTCATTAATGAATTAACACAGGAATAAATAAAGGTTGTTGAAACTCATGATACTTGTGTACTACACCAGTGTATCAGAAATGCATTTGTACATAGTACACTGGCTGGGGAACAAAGGAAATTAAAATGTTTATTGACCCTAAATAGACATTGTAGTGTTGTAGTTTTGACCTTATTGGGGGGGGTCAGGGGGCGGGGGGGGTCTGATTTAATGAATGTTGATGTTTTCATTGTTTTAACAGAACATGAACATTATCTCCAATCACTGTTTGTGGTTCCTCCCAGACCATACATCCAAGAAAAACACATTCTAGAACTGAGCTGCTTATGTTTTAATCGCTAAATACACACACAGAAAGACCTCATCTGCACACACAGACTTAGGTTGTGATTTATGAGTTAATAAAAAACAGTGAAATTGACTTATTCATCAACCCTGGGCTCCAAAGTTGTGAAACACACACACACACACACTCACACTGAATGGTCTTTCCTAACACCCCTGGTCACTTCCAGGTGTGTAGTTAACCTAAAGGAAAATGACTGACAAGCGGAGTGAGAGCCCAGTGGGGGACCAGGATCTGGTGACAGGCAGGGGAGCCACTGTTTACCGCTGGAGGTCATCCAGACACATGGTCACTCAAAAGATGGGGGAGGAAATGTGAATAGCAGCTGTGGCTGGAGGGCCACAGGGGAAAGGCAGGCGCAGGCGTAGGCCAGTGGCTCGAAATACAAAAATGTGGGAATGACTGTAACATTGTTGTAAACACAGATACAGATTTACCTGAAGGGCTCCAGACCAAATGTGAACATGGTCAGGAAAACAGAGGACTGCAGTGTTTAGGTTTGAACCTGACCAGATGAACCGTGTGTTTTTGGGTTTGCGTGTTATACCTAAAGTCACATCGACACCCTAATGAGACTGAAGAAAATCTACCCTTGATGAACAACTGGCTGTGGCTTTTCAGAAAGTGCTTGTGTCAGTGTGTGAGTTAGTGTCTCCCAGACATTCCCAGCTGGTTAAAGCCTCAGCCTCTTTATCAGCTGAGGAGGGCTCTACTTTCTAGAAATGAGTCATGAAAGTTTATTTCACACTCTTGCAAAAAAAAAAACTCACATTGTCCCTAAGGCTGTTTATGTTAGTCTTAACTGGATCACATTATCAGGGCCGCAGTACTTTTTGAAAGTTCAGACTTTGTTTTAATGACAGGATGAGGTCCGTCTGCTGTGGAGAAGCTGGACATTTAAATCAGCAGGACCGACATGTGTAACTAACTCTGGCACAGGCTGTTTTCACACTGCTACAGTGAGCAGTGACTCAGCTGAGACTATCACAGGGAAATGTGAAAAAGTTAAACCTCCTTAGTCATCATTCCTTGTGAACAGTCTCGCCTGATTCCTCTGACTCCTGACCCTACAGTTCATAGACACCACTGACATGTTGATACCAGGTTTATTTTCCTCATTTAAACTATGATTAAGAGACACAGCATATTTGCTAATGAATAGCTAGAAGACACCTACAGAGAGAGCTAAAGGGAATTTTCTGGATGGTAAAAGGTTAAATAAAATACATAAGTAGAGACGTTTCTCCAATTATGTGCACGGTTATTTTTTTTCTCTTTGTTTTTTTTTCCACTCTTTTTATCTTTGTGAATGTATTAATGAAGTCTGATTCTAACCCTAACCCACACACACACAAACAGCAGTGAGACTGGAGGCCAAAAAAATCCACTGAGAACCACTGTAGTTTTTTTTTTTTTTACAAGCTTGAAGAGTCTATGAATGGATTTCCCTAAGGTGATCCTGCCCTGCCCCTGACACACACACACCCCCCACCCCGACACACACTAACACACAAACACATTGTGGAAAATTCCAACAGATGCACACTAGTCACCCCGGAATCAAGTAATGACCCACTAGAGACTTTTTATTTCATAAAAACAGTTTCTACCAAACTGCCTGTTCTAACCACTGAGAGTAAATGAAATTTGCACGGCGCTATTTTAAGGCTGACATACTTTCGAGTCCTATTCTCAACTGTCAGATTTGCTCTGTTTCTAAATGCCAGATAATGTCAAATCAAAGCACAATCCCCACGAATATTTGCAAGTTAAAAAAAAAAAAAAAAGTTAGGCGTTAAGGGCGACCCCGTGTGGATATATAGTGAATGACGCTTCACACAGCCTGACGTCTCAGCTGATTGACCAAATTGAATCCGTGTTTGTCTATTTCTGCATTCATGAGAATAAAATATATAGTCGTTATTTATATTCAATTATGTATTTCAGTTTTTTTTTTCTCTACGTGTATTTGGGAGGTTTGATAATCTGAGATGGTATATTAAATATATTTGGTAAAACTGGGTTGTATTTAAGTCACTGCATGTGACTAATTTCGGAACAATCGCAGAAGCCAAAGTGCAGCACATAACATTCACACATTAAGATAAAACCAATCACGTGACTGGGCAAACAAATTAATGGATGAATGAATGAAAGAATGAATGAGATCAAATGCCCACTTCCATAGATCACTTGGCTGCTACAGGCTAGAATCAGTTCAAGACCAAGCCTCATGTCTTACAAATTGCCCGATGAGTTTACGACTGTCTGTGAGAAACTGTGCCGTAAACACACACACACACACACAGCACATCTGCACTTCATGCCACAGCGCAGTATTCACGGAGAAGTGGGCGCACTTCATGCCACAGCGCAGTATTCACTGAGATAAGAAGCTCCATAAAACCCGTGTCTGAACTGATGTCATCGCCAGATCTGACACTAAAACTGCTCATGTTATCCACATGACAACAGTCCTCAGACTCAGGGGGAACCAGGAGAGTAAACTAACAGCAGATGACGGTCAAATAAAACTCTACCGGTGTGAATTCTACATGTTTGACACCACATGGCTCTGTTTTCAACGACCATTCAGTCGCATCTGCATATTTTCTATTCAGCTCATTATGTATTATTTGTAATTGTTACTTAGAGACGTTCTACCTGCAGAGTGACAATAAATAAAGTATTTTATTTTTTGCAGTTTAGTTAAGATTTTGAAAGCACGAGATGGTATGGACATGAGCGCAGGACAGACTGGGACATACATCGGACAAAGAAGGTTGGAGATGGAGCTGCTGTGCAAAAGGAAAAGAGAAGGGATTTAAAACTGCAGAGAGGATTCAGGAACTGAAGAAAAAACGGACGTGCTGATGGAGATGGTTAGAGAATAAACACGCAGGAGGCAAAGGATAAGATGGGATGGAGGCAGAAGAAGAAGAAGACAGAAGTTTAGTCTGATCTTCTGTCTCCTATGGAAGCTGTGTCCTGGATCTCCAACGTTGGCTCTGTTACAGGTATTTAGAGGAGGAGGAGGAGGAGGGGGGGGGGGTATATTCTAGTTTAAAAAGATTTGTAACAACAAATAAGTCTGGACACCAAGGAAAGTCTCTGTGGTCCCGAGCAGTGGACACCAGAGCTGAACCCCAGCCAGAACAGGTAAAGTCTCACAGAGATTGACATCTCAGTCCTAGTCCCCGCTCCAACATCCTCTCAGCAGAGAAACAACAGAAACTGTTACTCACTTTGTGTCTAGATGAGAGGTTCTGCAATCTCTCCTTCGGGTGCCTAAATTCATTTGTATTCATTTGTCCTGGCAGTCAAAAACCTGATCCGTTAATCACAGCGTGACTCCTTTGCGAAGGGGACAGAAGACACCGGCGGCCGTTTTACGCATCGGACAAGTTTGTGATGAACTTCCAGAGGCAAAAAGTCATGTTGAGTTGCCTGTCAAGCCCCACATCAAATCCTCCTGGCAGGCTGCTTTGACAGAGAGTTTTCCGGTGCGGTTGTCTGTGGATATTCCCCTGTGTTTCATTCATTTATGCCGATCCAGAGAGAGGGCCACGCAGCGGGACGGAAAGGTGGGTTTCTTCAGGAGGGGTTACGGAGTCAGGAGCGCAGGACTCATCCCTTTCCTTTTTAAATAGGCTTTCTGCGGGGAAAGCCATGGCAGACGCACCGCACGGCCTGGTGTCAGGTTACAAACCCAGCGGTTGTACGAAGCAACTACACGCCTACTCCAGGGGGGTGGGTCACATGGACCCGACCCAGAGCTCCACGCACTGCTGAAGCCAATGAATGAACCCCGGTGGGTCGACGCTCGAGGAGCAGAAACAACCAAACAGAGACACCGACAGCTTCTCCAGGAAGTGTCCGTGACTCAGCGCGAGGAGGACCAGTCGTTTCTGTGTCCTGTAGTGTCTACTATTGGAGATTAAAATCTGGAAAGTGTGTTAACACTGTGTGTTAAAACAATTACATGGAAAATTCTAGATAGATGGATGAACGGAGAGACTACTAAACAAATGTTCCAGTAGGTGGCAGTAATGCAACGAAAAGGATACATCACTGACAAAAAACACAAGAAAGAAGCAAAGCAAGAGGATACAAAATAAGGCTTTAGTTTTGACTTCTTGTGTTTGCAAGAGAAAATAATAATAATAAACATTTACATTGAGTTATTGTTTCTGGGATCTGCAAATCTCCCCAGAAATAGCCATGTTTTTGTTTTTTGTTTTTTTGTTATTATCCGCACAACTTGTAGAAAAACATGCGTTTTTTTTGTTATTACCCGCACAACTTGTAGAAAAACACGCTTTAGTGTGAACAGTCACATGATGCTGGTACATGGAAATAACCGTTTATGAAAGAGCTGCATCATTCACTCAAGTTATGACAGTATTGAGATCATAAATGGACATCATTTATGAAAGAGCTGCATCATTCACTCATTGGTTTATTGCATAACCAATGAAACACAACAGCAGACACAGACACTAGAGATGTACGCAGTTCCTCATTATTGACTGGTTTTTTTTTACCATCCCACACATTTATACATCCTATACAGTACCTTTGTACATGTATTTGCAGTGGTGTACTGGATGATGCACTCAACGGCCTAATCTACACCCCCCAGATCAGAGGGTAAACGAGGGCACTATTCTGTGGACGTTCTGAAGAGACTGACCAACAACCACTTGCCCTGTGTCAGACGTTAGCTCCGCCTTTTGTGTTGGCCACTGTTTGATACAGACAGGGGAAGAGGAAGCCACCTGGATCAGCTTCTATGACCCCAGTTAAGGTCATGGCCAGGTGCAGGGTGAGCGCTACCGAAGGCATGAACGCGGCTACAACAGCCAGTAATTACTGGCGGACATCTGGTCAAGTTGTTTCGTGAGCGTGTACAGTGAAGTGGATGACGAGACGAGATGATCTCGAGTTCCTTTAAAAATACTGGGAAAAAGAGGTCGTTTACATAAGGAATCCAGAAGGTGTTTCCAGTGGAAACGGTGCTGAACATTCATGGTCTCTGGATTGTTAGAACACAGGGGATGGTGCTAGGAAGGGCTAACCGCTAACATTGTTTTTATGAAGAAAGCAACACTACGGTAATACTTATCACATAAAACTCTCTGCATTGACAAAAATACTTCACAAATATGACAAAAACAGTGTGTATTTTTACTGAAAAACACTTTTCTCAGAGACTTCAACAGCTTTCTGAAAAAAATAAACCCTAATTGTGCTGTTTTTACTGTAATTTAAATCATTTAACTTGCCTGTTGAGATGAATAGGGCACTTACTAATCAACTAGCTGAGTGACGTGTGTCCACTTTTGGAGTTGACCGCACTCCTAAAGGTCACTGCAAATAACATTCTGTTTGGGCGGGACCTGTTGCCGTGTGTCAGTTGGCGATCTTCCTGTGTTTCACCCTAAGGCTGCTGGTCAGCCAGCCGCACGGGTGGGTGCTAATGGACACGAGTCATTAACATCCCCTTTACAGTCCCCTTCACACACTCTGTCCCTTGTGTTTGAGTGCAGGGTGCCACCCGTCCCTCCCATGTCCTTCCCTTGAGCCACAGCGACTCTGCCCCCATCTTCCAAATTACAAACTCTGCGCTTGCTAGTGTGCTCATTGCCACCCCTTAAAGCTGCTTAATTATGGTCATTGGCACCACGTCTGAAAGCTCCCTTTATTCCCCCCCACACTCCAGAAATAGGCCCTGCCGAAGCACACAAGCAGCCCAGATCAAACGCTCCCCATAGGGAAGGGGTCATTACTGGTACTCAGGGCGGACACAGCCCGATGGGTGCCGGGCCACGCCTTGAGCCGAAATTGCAGCCTGGGCGTAGTGAGGACACAAGACTGTTCTTTGATGCATGCAAAGAGTAACTGCGCGCCGCAACCTGTTAGCATATCACAGTTTACAGTGTACTGTACACAAACAGCCGATACGATGTTTTACACCGTACAAAATTCAAGCAACGTACAAACAGCCGATACGATGTTTTACACCATACAAAATTCAAGCAACGTTGCTTTGATGTTCAGACTCTCACTCTGCTTTACGTGATTTTACATCATGGAAAAAATACAGCATGTTTGAATGGGAAGAACTCCCAAACGAAGGTTTTGAAATGTGCTCCTCTGGATGTGAAGGGTAGACACACGCCAACCTTTATAAATACTGCAGTGCATGTGAAGAAAACAACATTTTGTGTCTTTAAACAAATAAATAAATAGCGAGACAGTCACCTCTGTGTAGGTGTGTTTTCACGCTGGGCAGTGGCAGAGGTTATGGAGGTGGTGGCAGTGAACCAGACACTGCTGTCTCTCTCAGCTCACTGCACACAAGACGACTGTTCTAACCAGGAATGTGCGTGAATGCACAAGAGCAAGTGTGTGTGTATGCAGAGTGTCTCTGTGGCTTGTGTTTTTCCCTTTACAGGTGGTTCTGTCCACTTGTTTGTGTTCCTGGCCTCCTTCCTGTGAGTCGAAACGGTTTGGTGATGAACAGGGAGGTGGACTGTGGTTAAACAAGCCTGCGTCTTCTGTTTCTGTCTCACTGAGTCCCCTGCTGGAGCCTTCCTCTCTAATACTGTCTGTCTATTTCAGTTCTTCTTTAATCTGTCACTCCTATTTCTTCGTCCCTTTTGTCTCGCGTCCTCATCTCTTTCTTTGTTCCCTTTCTCTTTGTCTGCCTTTCTACGTCTCCCTGTCATTCCATCACCACAAGCATTTCCAGTGCTGGCACAGCAGTGTTAGACAACCACCCGAAAACAGTGCCACAACCATAACTAGCACGTTGACTTCTCATAATAATGCCAGAATAACCTGCTGGAGAGATGATAAAGTCTTTTTTGAGTGTAATGGGTTCGGGGGCAGGCCCACTGACCTGGTTAACCTGGATTTATAGTACCACCACACTGCACAAATATTTGCTTGTTAAAGAGTGAAACAAAGAGCTGTGTTTTCTCTCTCTCTCTCTGCTCTTTTCATACTTATTTCTGCCATGTTTGTTTTTTCAATTCTGCGCTGAAATTATGCACATTAGTTGTAATCTTAAATCACTAGTCTTCACACCAAGTTCATGGTCTTTTGACTTTAGGTTAGAGTTACACAAACATGTGCACAAATGTTTGTTTAACACTGATTTAGCTTTTGACGTACCCTGCAGACCTCCATCCTTGACGTCTCCAACTATATTTCTGTATTTCCCTCCATTCACGAATGTTCTTTGGGAGCCATCAAATATATTGATTTTTTTTTACCCAAATCCGTCTATTGTTGCCTCTATGATTTGGAAAACAGCACCAAATAAGTTGAAAAACAAGTTGGAAAATAAATATAATCCAATAAATCAATCAATCATCTGCATACAGAATATTCATAAAGTTCTCTTGATCGCCTATTTACACACAATATGTACTTTATTGTTTATTTTTGAGTAAACTGCTTTGCTCCATGCCAATCAAAATTCCTCTCACCTGCATTTTTTTCCTACTGAAGTGGAATTCTTCAGTGGCTTTTGTGTTTGTTTCAATGTGAACACACAAAGACGATTATCTTAGCAGCAGTAATGCCAAGTTTTTGAGTTAAAAATCACGGTAAGTGCGAGTATTAGCTCTGAAAATGAATCCCAGTGAATTCACTTTATCTTAGCAGCAGTAATGCCAAGTTTTTTAAAATTAAAAAAATTAAAAATCACGGTAAGTGCGAGCATTAGCTCTGAAAATTAATCCCAGTGAATTCAACTCTTTTTGCATGTTGTATCGTTAACAGCGTTTTTTTTTCTCCTGACATCACATGTCAGTTTTTTCAGTGAGGTGCTGCGAGGCCCGTGTAAAGGAAAAGGTAAAAGCAGCAGAGGATTGTGAAGTGGTTTTGATTTTTGCTTCTCTCGTTCTTGACACATTTTTTTGGCAGCCATTCAGAATTGACACACGACCAACTTGGCCCCATCAGAAAGCAGCAGCATCTAGGAAGTCGCTCCGCACCTGTGAGAGCCGTGCACAGTAGTCACCCTGTTTGTCATGTTGGGCGAAGGTATTCAGCAGCTTCCATGTGTACATGAGGGGGGAAAAAAAACCTGGATCGGGTTCAGTGAAATGTCAATTTTCAAGCCCGCCCCTCTGTGAACACTAGATGTTAACAACATATATATACAGTTGATTCACATACAGTACACGGTTCGCATACACATACTGTACATTTCCAATGAAACCCCACTTCAAAATGATATTGTTGCCTAGTTAAATCCAGATTAAATTCCCTACTCTGTGTTCCTTTCAAACAGGGCTATAATTCATTCCTATTCTGGAAACTAATCCCAGCATTTGGATTGGACTGAGCCACCAGAGACCAGGATAACCTAAGCAGAAACAGCAGGGTCCAGTGAAACCTGCGCTCCCTGGCATCGAATCAGTGTCCAGATTCCAGTGATGCCTTCTGTAAAAGGACTTCATTATGCTCTCGGAATATGGACAAGACAAATATTTGGCTTGGTCATTATGATGCTTGTATCCACTCCCCCCATGGAAACAGGTCCCACACCAGGCTCAGTGTTTCTGCATCCCAAGGATGTCTAACCCCAACCCCCCACCAGCGTCTCTCTGTCTCCTTCCTGATAAAGGCGTGAAGAGGGACAAAAAAGGAAGGGAAAAGTTTTACTAAGAAGGAATGGAAATAAAGGAAGAATATTTTACAAATCCATATGGCACCAAATAATTGTTATTTTCCTCTTTATTCTACTCTTTACCAAATATTGACATAATGGTAATAAGATATACCTATATTAGATCATACAAAATAAACCTTGTTGTTTTTCTACATGTAAATGCATTTTAAAATATTTAAATATTTAAATAGTGTATATAATGACAGGTCAAGCCTGTCTACCCCGTCTTTTTGTTTTTATTTCCTCTGTTCATGGATTTCCACAGTGGATCATGTGACTTTTCCATCAGTGTTAAATCATCCTTATGTCTTTCTTCACTGTGTCCATTTGACCCTCTGTTTCCCTCATTATCTCCAGGGTGTCTGCACCCAGTGGCTCTTTAGCTTCTCTTCACCTCTGCCTGTACGACAGCACTGTTGGTATTATTCAAATCCCTGTGAAATATATATGGTGGTAAAATGATCAAATGGTTCTGGTAGGGGTTAAAGGTTACAGACCCCTGGTCTGAACCATCTCTAGCTCCAGCCTAGCCTTTAGTGACTAGAGCGGGGTCAAACATGCAGCC